TAGTTTAGGACAGCAAGATTTTTCAGTACGACACTCAAGAGGAAGGAAGGAAGGTGCAGGGTGAGGGGGGAGGCCTAAGGGCTTTCCGTTTCAAAGAGCTGATTGGGTGGAGCACCGTTTGAGTGGTGAAGCCTATTGATTTTAGTCTTTACATCACGGAAACTTGATGAAATCAGATAAACTCTATTCACGCCAGTTCTTATAAATGTACAACTTTTTTCATTAGTTATTTTCATTCATTCACACTACCACTTTTAATATCAAGTGATTAACATTGAAAATCTTCGTAGGTCATTATAATCCCGTAAGTTGATATCAAGAAGTTTTTTATATTGAAAAAAAAAACCAAGCGTGAATGGAGATTTAAAAGACCTGATGAATTGTAAATGATGAATCCACAACAAACTGACGAAGGGTTCACCAGAATAATCAATATTAGATTTTGTACGTTGGACTACATGGCAACTCTCCCTGTCCTTGGCTAGTCGGCAAACTTCGCTTTGTCATTACGTTTCGTTTACATGTCAAAATATTTCCCGTCTTAGGCGGTTCTCGATAAATTTTCAGTTTGATGTTCAGTATATATACAGTAAAGATTATAAAGTACATACTACAGCGTTCTGAGACCGCCTGCAGTAAGCTCTGCATTAGAATCAGTAAAACAGAGACAAAACTTAACAAAAACATTCTCCTGTTACATGTAGACTACTGTAAACTCGGAAATGGTGGCGCATGAAAACACATCTAAAATAATTGTAACATTTTATTCCTGCCCACGGTAGTTAGTAGCAGCAGGCACATAACAAATTTAGTATTACTAATATCTTGCTATCCATTATAAGGAATACTAATAACGGTGAGAGGATAAATTAAACATTTTCAGTACAACCTACAAAAACATCCGCACCAAATAATACAGTACGTACCTGCGGGCAACACAAACAAAAACGCACAAGCTCATTCACCTCATGTACCGGTATGTGAAACATAAATGGATGCAAGTTTTATGCACTTCACAGATTACTCGTGCACTTTCACTTCCATATTCCAGACACATATGCCATATACCTGTACAGTATATCTATGTTAGCTAATTTTGAAAAAGGCCAAATAGCTGTTTGGCCTTTTTGCATAATGATATTAAATGCCAGGCCCCTAACCTAAGCTAACCTAACCCTGACCACACAGCTGGCATGATTGCAAAATGTCATTAACATGCCTGGGTACGGTTAAGTTAGGTTAGGTTAGGTGGGGGGCCTCACATATAATATCATTATGCTGTTTGGAATTTTTGCAAAAGGACCAAGTTCGTAAAAAATTCCGTAACATATACAGTTAATTCATAGATGCTGTACCTTCCACTTAAGACATTGCTCACATAATATTAGGTACAGTACATACAATACAGTAAATACGTACAACAATAATATACTAGACATACTTACACACCTATAACCTGGACACACACTCCATGTTATATAAAGAATGCAGAGGTAAATTTATAGCATACTAGTATATTTTACAAAGGTGCATACACACATTAATAATGATAAACAGACTCACTACCGAACAATCATATAATTGCTCCACTAATGACACGGGTTCTCTCCAACATTTTACAATTTTTACATACAACAAGTCTTAATCTTAACAAAACGAATGAGAGAGTTCGGGGCCAAAAAATATACATTTTCAATTAACAATTGTATTTATTTATTTTAACGCAATTATAAAGAGGGTGCATCTACATGGGACCTCAAAAAAGTCACTTAGTTAACACACATACCGCACACCTGTAGTCAAACCATATACCACATAGGACAGAACACCTCTAAAGATACTGCTAGTTAGTTTATAGACACTTGTGGAGCCTTACTCGGTGGACTGATAAAATTAGACACACATATATATTTTTTATTATTATTACTGTGTGTACAGTATATATATGTGATGATAATAACAACAATAATAATAATAATAATAATCTGTTTGTTAACCAATATAGCAGCCATAAATTAAAAATATACAAATAGTGGTACACATACACAGTATATGTTAATGACAAGCGGGGGGGGGAAGGGCCATTTAACAAAGAATTTCAGCAAAGTTACAATTACAAGAGACTGATAATGAGTGAAAACACAAGTTATCTATGAGTTGTTGATGATCTTAACAGTGGTTGGAAATTGGAATGGGGCTGTTCTTATAGCGATCAGTACGTGGTCCTATGGGCTGGAAGAAGATTGTGGTATCGAACAGAAATTTGAAGACGAGGGATCTCAGGTGGTAGCAGGAGAGGGTGTCGAGGATAGTGTAGTTGCTTCGTCCCAAACTGACAGATGAGGTCATGGTGATATTCAGAGAGAGTTGAGAGGTTCAATGTACTGAGTGCACCTCAAACGCGGGAACTTGGAGGGATTTGAGGCGTCAAATCATGTGGAGACGATATCAGGAAGATTTTTTGATTGTACTGATGTGTACTTTCCAGTCCGGTTTATCTTTAGCGACGCCGAAGAGCTTGATAAAATCCAAAACCTGGAGTGTGTTGGGGCCCAGTGTAATGGAGGGTGATGGAATGTGGCCGGTGGAGAGATTAATGTGCATAACCAGGAAGAAGAGAAGGAGGAGGAGGAGGACAGCTAACTTCTCCATAGGGTCGTTAGGGTCATCAACACTTATGAGATAATTAGAGAACCGAATCTATAGTACTAAAGAGTTGGAGCCATTAACAGAACCAAACTCATGGTTATGTATCTAATAAGAGGGACTGATTGAGAGAAAGTGTGGTTGCCAAGGTGCTGGTGGTAGCCTCAGGACTGCACGTAGGTGAGTGATTAAAATGGAAGAAGCGATACGTACCGGTATATTGGCGCTCCAGTACTAGAGTAATACCCATCCAAAAAAAATTCAACTATTTGCAAACATAATCAACAAGAGATTATTTTTGTGGTTAAGGATATTCTTTTTTCAAGGTCACATGTTATAAATTCGTTATTGGAAAGGAATCATCACTTATGGAAACTAAAGTGACATCAGTAAATCAGATTTAAAATACACGATAAATGATGTGCAATACCGGTACATGGTCTAATTAGAGTCAGGACAAACAGGACCCCCCAAGATGTTAGAAATAGAAATAAATTAGAAGAAACTATGGATAAAAATGAATACAGTAACACAAAAATATATTATTTTTAAAGAAAAACAGGTTAAAACGTTATCAAATCTAGAGGGATTGCATGATGACCTTTTGACATGTTGCCCGATTAGCCATATTGATACAGGAGCTCCCAGGTTGTAAATAAGGAGGCAACGCAGGCTGTTTCTTAGTGAAAAGGGCCCCTTTAATGACCCTTTGCCTTAGGTCATTTTTGTCCTAAGTTGGGTCCTGGCGTGCAGGTTGGAACTTTAATTAAACTACGAGAAATCATGTCCTTTAGTGACACCTGCGTCTAGGCTGTTATTCCTGCACGGTATACGGTACAGGTGTGTGGCTAAAGGATCTTCGATGATGAACAATTCTCGAGTTGATAGCCATCGAATTTTCACGCCATTAAGATGAATTAATAATCTAACAGTAGAGTACTCACACGTGCAGCTCTCTGTAGAATGAAAATGGTTAAATATCTGCTCCAGTTGAACAAAACAGACGAAAAACACAACGCCTGCCTTCCTCACTTAACGGTCTTCTTTGTGCAACTTCGAGTCACATTATGTTGTTCTTGTGATCGTTTGTTTTGTAAATTTTTAATATTTTTGGGGGAAATGCTTGTAGGCTAAGTGAAGCCCATTGATGGTTAATAAAAATAATATATCTTACATATTCTTTTATATAGTACATTAATAAAGAACCCAGATGAACAGTTGCTGCCGTACGGGTCCTAATAAGACATCTGAAACAGTATCATGAAAGAACGTTTGTGAACACTGATGTACAGTAACTTTTGGAAGATTACAAGTGTTTTGAATAGGAAACTTATGTGATGAATGTTCCTTTTAGGATAGCTGTTATGGGAGTAAACAAGTTCAATTCAATGAGTCGAATATGTTTTTGTTTTTTAATATATACTGTATATATATATATATATATATATATATATATATATATATATATATATATATATATATATATATATATATATATATATATATAGAAACGTGGACAAGATAAATCTCTATAAAACCACACAGGAAAAAGGAAACACTGGAGCACCTTAGCTTTCGTCTTTATTCAAGACATCTTCAGAGGCAACTGTTATGTAAGACCACCCTATATATAAGCCTCCTTCAGTCACTGTAAATTCAGTTGCCTCTGAAGATGTCTTGAATAAAGACGAAAGCTAAGGTGCTCCAGTGTTTCCTTTTTCCTGTGTGGTTTTATAGAGATTTATCTTGTCCACGTTTCTATTGTGGAACTATATATATATATATATATATATATATATATATATATATATATATATATATATATATATATATATATATATGTGTGTGTGTGTGTGTGTGTGTGCTGCCACACACTATGTGGCAGCAACACATTTTTCACACAATGAAAGTTAGCAATATGGTGCGCAAACAATATGGCGGAAGAAACACATTTTTCTGCAGCAACTCACCATAATCAGCAAAAAAAATCATTGACACAAGATAAAAGAAGACGACGGACAGACAAGGGAAAAGCTACCTGAGATTAACCAATTACGAGTTTAATACCTGATGGTCACGTGTACCTCCCCAGGGCCAGGCTGGAACCATCACCTAGCGTCCACACAAATTAACTTCACTCACAATAACGAGGCGATCATCTTGTGCCTTTTCATTATGGGTTCCAGACAAATAGAATTAACTAGCTTTTTAGAACTCATCTGTGTAAACGCAGGGAATAATGTTCCATGGTACTTATTACCTACTAAAAAATATGTAACAGGGAGAAACACTTTTGAATATTTATTATGACTACATATGATAATTTCCATGCGAAATGTCACTTATATACTCACCTAATGCGAAGGTTGCATGGAATGTCTACGACGCTGTTGACACACCTGAGATACGTGACGTCACGGTATTCACACACTTGTCCGATAGATTGTTTTCAAGGAGAAAGTCTAATACTGGCGTGTAGGTTTTTCACAAAACTCACTTAAGTAGCTGAAGAATATACAATTATTTATTAATAGCTTCTGCCAAGATGAATTAGCATGCATGCATGTACTGTATAATTATATAGTCGACAGTATGCATATATCCAGTTTACCATATTTCCTTCACTACCATATACTGTATTGTTGATGTAGATGCACTACTTCAGCCATTGCTTCATCTTAAGACACACATTTAACCGTAACAATAAAAATAATAAATTAAGGAATGGCCATGGATGAAAAATTACTGGACAATATACTGTGCAGTGGCAGGGTGGGGAGTTGCCAATTACTATTATGTTTGGGTTTAACTCGTGTGTTCCGCGAACGTTTGTGAGTAGCGAGCAGTTGTGTAGTTGTATGGTGTTCAATGTTTCATATAATATATTTAGTTACAAGGACATGTTCCAAGTGACAATTCGAGAACTTATATGTAAAAAAGCTTAACGTAGATGTGAACAGCTAAGACGAGTGATATAATAACATGGAGCAGACAACACGAACTAGACTGCACTAGCTTCACCGCACACTACCACCACCAATCGTCTAGCTTCCCAGCTAGTCTTTTTGACATAACATTCATGTGTCGATCCTCAGGATCTTTACCAACCCCCCCTTTCCTTTTATATCATTCTGGGGTATATTTTCATTCCGTCTTCTTTAGGTGATGCCATCAATTAACCATAAGATGGAGCATACCATAGGATGTACATTTGATGTTGACACTTTAATCACTACACTCTATTGACACTCATTACAAAAGATAATATACACTTTATTTTACAGACTACCATTATTTCTTTACATTCTTACTTAATACAACCATCAAGAAGATGAATTTTATATGGAAATAGAGCTTGTGCTGAGAGTAAACTCGCGCACAACCACCTTACACCGGGTCCAGACCAACACTGGGGCTTGTCCCTCGACAGCTCGACTCTCGAGCGAGCCGTGAGCTCGGCATAACCAACATCCCGTGTCGTAGACTGGTGGTTGGCTGATGACCAGTTTAACCCCGACCTTGTTTACAGTCGCGTGTCCCCGATAGGTAAACTATTATCGCGCCCTCAAAAGTAAGTACGATATATTTTTAAGTACATTTCATAACCAAAATTGTATATATATATTTTAAAAGGTTCACTCACTTTTACATTAAATTTTTATTTTTCATTAATATAAGACATTCAATATGAAAATTTATGTAAAAGAGGTAGGAGTTGGTAAAAAAGATTATTATTGGCTAAATGGAAGTTTGTTCAGAACCAACCAACTATTGTCGAAAAGTTTTAGACTCTAAACCACATTATTCAGTTATCAGAGACCATAGCCACGCATTCAATCACCCTATAAATAAGGCGACGACATAACAGTCGCTCCTCACCCACCGAGCATGAGTCAAGAAGGCAATCATGATCTCCACATGTTTCCCTGCTGTGCGCTGTGAGAGCTCTTGTGTTCACAGGCTGACAGGAGAGTGTAGGCATAGTCTGAGAGGTGCAGGCCATATAGGAAGGTATAAATGCAGTCTGGATATAATTGCAGGCGGCTAGAGCTCTTTACAAAACACTTACCGTGCAGCACGGTCAGTGAGTTTAACCTGAATAGTATATACGGTGCAATGAGTGACCCTACAAAGGAACAACCTTGTGAAGGAAGGTCAGCACAGATTTTTGACCGGACGCTCCTGCTTGACACAGTTGCTGGAGATAAGTGGATGTGTGGCCATTGATTCTGGAACGTGGTGATAATTGACAAAATGTACCTTGACAGTGTTCCTTGCGGAGAACTGAAAATTTATTATGGAAGTATATGGAACTCGGTGAATGTCTGAACATGAATTAGAGAATTTCTTCACGATAGTAAAACACGTGCGGTGATATGTGGCATGAAATCGCCATGTGTATCCGTGACAGGCGACATGCCGCAAGGCAGTGTGGGTGGTGTAAGGGACAGGAGTGTGGTATAGACGAGGAACTCAAGGAGGGTATAAAACGATTGGCTTGAGTTGATGGTTGTCGAGGGGAATACTGGACAGAAGAAGTGTGGTTCAACCAACTGAAAAAGGGTATTGTGGCCATGAGGAAACAAATTCTGCTGCCGGCAAGAGAGAAATGGTGTGACCAGCAGAAGAAAAGTGTTTTTGTGGCAGAAAGGGGTTAGTGTGGCTGATATGACAAGCAATATACAATATAGGAAGTAGTGTGGCTGGCAGGGGAGTGACGTGTGCGACATAAAGGGTTTGGTGTTGGCAACAAAGGAAGCTTGTGTAATTAAAAGGAGAAAAGTGTTGGTACTGGAAGGAGAAATTTGGTAAAGGAGTGTGACCATATAGGAGGGTTTCTGCTGCTGGCAGCAGAGTAGTGTAGCGGAAGGTGGGAGGCGGTGAAGCCTTCAGGAAGAGAGTAGTGCGGTCGGCAGTATATAGGGCGTAGGTGCAGACAGACATTGCTGGCACTTGTTAGGTTTCGTGTAAAGCTTCCTGACGTGAGCAACGAGCTGTCTTCACATGTATAACAAACCAAAACTGATGAAAGATAGTTTGGCATCGATTCAGTTCATCATAGGGTTACATCTCTGTTGATCCTTGTAAAAGAATAATGCACTAATTTCATTCCATTTGGGCATAAAAGACAATACTGAGTGTCATATATATATATATATATATATATATATATATATATATATATATATATATATATATATATATATATATATATATATATATATATATATATATATATATATATATATATATATCTTTGGCGTTTTGTCTATGAGGCAACTTGGGTATACAAATTACAAAGAATGGAGAGACATCACAAATATCTTTATGTCTGCCTTCCGTAAAACTGTACATTGATATGTAACTATGCAATTTGTACTTCTGTTCTGTCTTACTGTTATTATAAATCCCATATATTGTTCGATTTCTCTTCTAAATTTATTTGCTTCATAAATTCTACGACTGCATGATCGAAAAATACCTCTTTCATCCACTATCGCTGCTTTTGAATATGGAAAATTTGAAGACACCAGTTGATTCAAATTTTACAAATAATCAAAGAGAAGGAAGGATCACATTACGTTAGTTGTCAGTAAAGTAAGGGGGTGCCCAATAAACTAGCCCCCTCGGGGGCAAATCTGAATCTGAATCTTGTCAGTAAAGTAGTAATGCTCTCATATAACTTCAGTTGTAAGCCTATCACTTTTATTTATTTATTACTGTATTGTCAATTCTCATTATATATTTTATTAGTATTCATTCGTTTCTGTCTTATTCTTATTTTCATTAAGTTAATAATATAAAGTCCATTGATTTTGTTTTCTTTTTCCCCTTAACAACACTGAGGCGAAGGCAGTAATTTTTCATACAGGTTCAGTCCCAAGTTTTATTTAACTTCATACGTAGACAGAAATTTTGAAAATCTAATTCAAGTGATAAGGAAATTTTACGTAAGATTAGTGACAAATCATCAATATCACAGCATAAGTTTAGCCCTTCACTACTGGATGCCACTTTTAATATTTTATTTTGTTAACGCCAGTCGCTTTTATTCAGTGCCCAAGGAGTTAAAATGGCGTCATTATGAGAGGTCGCTAACGCAGATTAAGTTAAAATGGTTTCGTATAGTAAAATAGAAGCGAGGTGCGTCTTGTGAGGCAGAGGTCAAGGATCCTTAACTTTATATCTTGACTTCAGCATCAAGTTTCATTATTGCGATCAACCACAAGAGGTGGGATCCATAAAAGTAATCCTATAATGTGATATTTTACCCCCAGGGAATATCATTAACGTGAAAATTACTGAATTTCTTCCATTTTATCTTAACTATGTCTCAGTAACATCCACCAACACCCACTTTAAGTCGTAGTAAAAGTCACATTTGGCTCCTAACAATCACATGTGGATCTAACAACAGTCACACCTGGTCTTAAGAACAATCATAGCTGGCACTCACATCAATCCTGTCTATCTCTAATAACAATCCCGTCCAGCCCTTAAAAAGGAAACAAACAAACAATCACATCTGGCTCTAAAACAGTCACATCTGGTAATAACAACAGTCACATCTGGTAATAGCAACAGTCACATCTGGTAATAACAACAGTCACATCTGGTAATAACAACAGTCACATCTGGTAATAGCAACAGTCACATCTGGTAATAACAACAGTCACATCTGGTAATAACAACAGTCACATCTGATAATAGCAACAGTCACATCTGGTAATAACAACAGTCACATCTGGTAATAACAACAGTCACATCTGGTAATAACAACAGTCACATCTGGTAATAACAACAGTCACATCTGGTAATAACAACAGTCACATCTGGTAATAGCAACAGTCACATCTGGTAATAACAACAGTCACATCTGGTAATAACAACAGTCACATCTGATAATAGCAACAGTCACATCTGGTAATAACAACAGTCACATCTGGTAATAACAACAGTCACATCTGGTAATAACAACAGCCACATCTGACCTTAGTTACAACTACTAAAAGCTACTTGTTCCCAGGTAAGGGTTGCTAGCAGCCAGGTCTGGCCTCAACAGTAGCATCTACAGTAAATTACACGTCTGTCCCCAGTATCAGCCACTGAAAGCACGTCTGGTCTAGTAACTATTTCCATCTGTCTGACCCCAGTAATAGCCTCTTCTGGCCACGTAAGTCAGGTCCTGGTAATGACCCCTGACAGCTAATTGTTGCCTTGGTAACAGTAATAACTATAGAAATCTCATCTAACCGTGACAGAGTTCTGCATGTGAGCAATATCGCCTGATTGTAAGAATGAAACCAGGTGGGGATGAAGCGACCACCACTGCGCGGAGGGCGGAGCTTGTTGTTATCCTCGGCAGTGAGGACAGCTCGCCTCCAGCATCATCTCATCTCACAGCCTCCTCACTTTTTCATATCATCTCAGAATGGAGATGTCATCCGTTATGGTAGACAATATAACTCAGTATCATTAACACCAAATATCACCTAAGAGGAATAAATAACGTAATTTCGTTAAAGAACAATGAACTACTTTGGTATAAACTGTAAATGATCAAGAGTTCGATTGAATTGGATTCCTTCTTTATGCATTCTTATGCACTCATTAGCACAGTGAATGCTATATCGCGTGCCCCTGACTAGTTGAGTAACTCTTCGGTAGACTTACTAATATTCTGCTTACGAGAGTATGAATCCCACTAGCTGCTACTAACAGTATTAAGAAGAATGATACCAACACTTGTGCGGCCTTCCTCTCTCTCATCTTAGCTTTTGGAGGTTCCGAGAAAAAAGGTTAAGTGTACTGTGTGCTATGTGTTATTAATTACTCTCGGGTGTAACTAAGAGCGACATAGTGTAGTAATAAAGATATTTGAGTGTGTTGTGAGTGATGCCTCAAGCCTAACTACGGAGAGCAGAGGAGGGAGAGGTGGCAGCATTGTACACCACTCTTTATCCACTCTCTGGAAAACGATCCTTTTAATAACAAAACAAGACTCATCCGCATTAGGTGACGGAATGAAATATTCAAGACTCTTTTGAGAATACTAAAGGTGTGTTAATCCCTAGTAGCAAAGATTCACCAATGAAATATGGTGCTACATCACAGACGGGGACTCTCCTTAGCTCTGGAAAGGATGGCGAGGCTGTTGCTGCTGATGTTGCTGAGAGAGAAGGAGACCGGGATCAATACTCTCTAAAAGCTTCCAGAGCGCCGGCGTCGAAGTTTGAAATCCAGTGGCGGTCGGAGCGGTGGCACAAAGTACTCGCGGTGGTCACATGGCACTCACCACCTGAAACAGTTATGCTCCTCCAACTCGTCCTTCTCTAACTTTAGGTAAACTTGGTAATAGCCTTAATGGTATTGATAAGTGTTTGTCAGAATATTACAGTATAG